GGGCAGAGAGAGAGGGAGACACAGAATCGGAAGCAGGCTCCAGGCTCCAGGCCATCAGCCCAGAGCCTGACGCGGGGCTCGAACTCACGAACCGCGAGATCGTGACCTGAGCTGAAGTCGACGCTCAACCGACTGAGCCACCCAGGCGCCCCTTTACTTTCTTTTTTTAAAAAAAAATTTAATGTTTATTTATTTACTTGAGAGAGACAGAGACAAGAGTGTAAGCAGGGGAGGGGCAGAAAGAGAGGGAGACACAGAATGTGAAGCAGGCTCCCGGCTCTGAGCTGTCAGCACAGAGCCCGAAGCAGGGCTTGAACTCAAAAACTATGAGATCACGAGCTGAGCTGAAGTTGGATGCTTACCCAACTGAGCCACCCAGGTGCCCCTTAGATTTACTATCAAATCTTCCCAAATACAATACACTACTTAAGACCCTGTATTACTCAACTGGGCAGGGATGCTTGCAACAATAAAATGTATTAAGAAGCTGGTTTTCTTGGCTGTGTAATGGCAATTGACATTAAGTCATTCATTTGGCAACAGGTGTCATTTGTCCTTTCAGTATTTCTAGTTGTAAGACACTTGTCATCTTTTTCAGAGAAATTAGGAGGAGACAATAGATTTTCAAATATGAAAACCTTCCAGATAGATGCTGCTTAATCTAAAACAGTAACTTCCGCACCTGCCACCCCCAATACTTAACCTCCTGCTCCCAAATCCACAGAACAATCCTATCAGCCATTGAAAACATCAATGCTCTGTGGGTACTCACATACCCAACTTTGACTTTGGGTCTCTGGAAACCCCTGTATGTGCTTTATGTGTGGTCCAGCAGCCTTGACATCACCTGGGAATTTGTTCGAAATGAACACTCTTAATTAAGTCTCGCCTCGGACCTACTCGATCAAAATCTGTATTTTAACAAGATCCTGAGGTGGCTCATTAGTGCCTTCGAAAAGTTTGAGGGGAAAAAAAGATCCATGGCTCTCAGTGGGCCTGATAGCAGAAGTGGCATCACTCAGAACCATATAGAAAACTCAAATTCTTGGGTCCCACCCTATGCCTACGAAATCAGAAACCCTAGGTTAGGTCCAGCTGTTTAATAACCCCTCCAGTTGGCTCTGATGCACACTAACGTTTGGGAACCCCTGTTGTTGTTGTTTTGAATGTTTATTTGTTTATTTTGCAAGAGAGGGGGGCAGAGAGAGAGAGAGGCAGGGAGAGAGAGAATCCCAAGCAGGCTCTGCCCTGTCAGCGCAGAGCCTGATGCGGGGCTCGATCTCACGAACTGGGAGATCATGACCTGAGCCAAAATCAAGAGTCAGATGCTTAACTAACTGAGCCACCCAGGTGCCCCCGAACCACTCCGTTAGATCAAGGATCCTCTCAATCTTGGCTAAATGTTAGAATCACTTGGGGAGCTTTGAAAGAAAAATACTGCCTCTCAGGATCTTACCCCGAGATGTCAGTTGGTCTGGGTGAAGCCAAGGATCATTTTACAATTCGTTTCTCAGGTGAATCTAATATTCAGTGAGGCTTTCTAACCACTGCTCTGGAAATACTATTTCCCCCTCAAATAAACTTTATACCGAAGAGAATAAGTTTGGCGGTGATGGAAGAGATTCAGTTTTCATTTCCCATATATTTACTGAGACCTTGCCGTATGTTAGGCTCATTACCACGAAGATTAAAAATAACTACAGGGGCGCCTGGGTGGCGCAGTCGGTTAAGCGGCCGACTTCAGCCAGGTCACGATCTCGCGGTCCGTGAGTTCGAGCCCCGCGTCGGGCTCTGGGCTGATGGCTCAGAGCCTGGAGCCTGTTTCCGATGCTGTGTCTCCCTCTCTCTCTGCCCCTCCCCCGTTCATGCTCTGTCTCTCTCTGTCCCAAAAATAAATTTAAAGAAAAAAAAAAAATAATAACTACAAAGTGGGGCGCCTGGGCGGCTCGGTCGATTAAGCGTCCAACTTCAGCTCAGGTCATGATCTCACGGTTCCTGGGTTCGAGCCCCACATCCGGCTGTGCCCTGACAGTATGGAGCCTGCTTGGGATTCTCTCTCTGTCTCCCTCTCTCTCTCCCTGCTCCGCCCCTGCTCACGCTTGCTCGCTCTCTCTCTCAAAATAAATAAATAAGCTAAAAAAAAGATAAGTCCAAAGCATAGTTCTTGCCCATAAGGGAACTTTTAATCTCTACTGGCAGAAAGACCTGCACATATTTCATATATAAATAATGAAAGGAACACGTCATTCTATGCTATTGACTATAATTCAGTAAAACAAGTTACATGTCTCATATCACTGTTAGGTCAAACTGATTTCTAGCCTGTTTATTTTTAAATTGCTACTTTTTTTTTTTTTTTAAATGGAGTAAGATGAAGGAAATATATGTTGGGAAATGATGAAGAAACACTTTCGATTATAATTATAAATAAGCCCTTCAACATTTAAACCTGGACCAAGTGGCAGACAAGGTCAATGGCCACTTCAAAGAATAATTCATGAGCTTAAAGATTGAGTGGGCCAAAAATGCTTTGAAGCTTCCTCACTGGCATAACACAGAATTATGCTGTGGAATCACTGACAGTCAATTCACCCCAATGTTGTCTGTAAATTAAGTTACAACTACTAAGAAAAATTAGCAATTAAGAAATCAGCAGTTAGGGGCGCCTGGGTGGCTCAGTCGGTTGAGCGTCCGACTTCGGCTCAGATCGTGATCTCACGGTCCGTGGGTTCGAGCCCCGCGTCGGGCTCTGTGCTGACAGCTCAGAGCCTGGAGCCCGTTTCAGATTCTGTGTCTCCCTTTTTCTCTGACCCTCCCCTGTTCATGCTCTCTCTCTCTCTGTCTCAAAAATAAATGTTAAAAAAAAAAAAATTCAGCAATTAAAGAGTTTATAATAAAGCTATTTTCACTTTTATTAGTAGACATATAACTCTTTCCTTTGGCTTCATTATTTGCCTCTCCTAGATTGGCTTCTTTGGAGAACACATTTAAAAATAAATGAAAAATATTGTTCTTGTCTGGGGGAAACTACTGGCTAAGCGTTTTTCACAGATACCGGACTGTTGAATTTATATTAAAAATTTTTTTTAAATTTTTTAATGTTTATTTATCTTTGAGAGAGAGAGAGAGAGAGTGCAAGTGGCAGAGGAGCAGAGAGAGAGGGAGACACAGAATCTGAAGCAGGCTCCAGGCTCTGAGCTGTCAGAACAGAGCCTGACGTGGGGCTTGAACCCATGACCTGAGCCAAAGTCAGATGGTTAACCAACTGAGCCACCCAGGCACCCCTATTTATATTTTTAAATGGGCAATGAAGCAAAATTCACAATTCCACCTAAGTTTCATGAAAATTATGTTAACATCTAAAATTGGGTCAAAATTAAATTCCGCTAAGTGTTTTGATAATTCAGCTGAATATAATACATCCATTCTTTTGTTTTATTATTAGTTACAAAGGCGAGGATGTGACCCTAATCCTTTAAGACTATAAAAGGATTTTCTGAATTAAAAGGGAAAATCTCAAATGTTCATCTACCTCATCTCTCTTGTTCTATCAAAAAAAAAAAAAAAAAAAAAAGAAAAAGAAAAGAAAAGAAAAGCTACAGGTTAGAACAGGTTAGAGCACTTTAAATAATACCAGTTTGAATCTGGAATGGGTTTAAGGGCATCCTCATTTAATAACTTTCCTTCTTATTTGAAAATGATTCCACATTAGTAGGTAATGAATTTCAAGCTATTTCCCCAATATGGATGGTAGATATACTGATCCGGCCCTTCTTTTCTTTCTTAACAATTTTTAAAAATTTATTTTTGAGAGGGAGGGGAGAGAGAGGGCTCGCAAGCAGGGCAGGGGCAGAGAGAAGGAGACACAGAATCTGAAGCAGGCTCCAGGCTCTGTCAGCACAGAACCTGACGTGGGGCTCAAACCCGCAAGCCGTGAGGTCATGACCTGAGCCAAAGACAGGCGCTTAACCGACTGAGCCACCCAGGCGCCCCAGACCTTCTTTTCTTACATCCACAGACACGTCCACCAGGAGGTGGGCTGATAGGATCGTTAATGAGTGCCCATGAAATAGATTTTGAATCCATCATCTGGGATAGAATTTATTCTAGAAATGATCAGATGAGAAAGGGGGGGGGGCATTTATTCCAGTTTTATAGATGGAGAAACTAAAGTTTAATTATATCATCTGCACAGAATAAAGGAAGGTGTAGTGATTATCAATCATGGTTGGAAAGGTAATAAAATCACGTGGAGAATGAAAAACAATGACCAAACAACCACATGTTGTACCCCGCCCCTCTCCCACTACCACACAATATGTATCCAAAATCTAAGTTGAGAACAACTTGTGTATGTGAGTTGCTGTTTCTGATGTGAGTTTGTCATGTCACCTCCGTTGTATTGGGCATTTAAGAGGGTTGAAAACCAGGTAACCAGCACAGGGAACCATACGTTCAGTTCTCTATTTTATCTAATGGAATAGGCAGTTAAAAAAAAAAAAAATCTGCATTTGGGGTGCCTGGATGGCTTAGTCGGTTAAGCGTCCAGCTTCAGCTCAGGTCATGATCTCACAGCTCGTGAGTTCAAGCCCCGTGTCAGGCTCTGTGCTGACAGCTCAGAGCCTGGAGCCTGCTTGGGATTCTGTGTTTCCCTCTCTCTCTTTCTCTCTCTGCCCCTCCCCTGCTCGCACTGTGTCTCTGTCTCTCTCTCTCAAAAATGAATAAACATTAAAAAAAATTTCTTTTTAAATTCTGTTTCCTTGAATGGAGATATTTTGGATATAATTGAATTATAGCATTGTCAGCCATTGATGGCTTTGATTTTGGTCTTAAGAATTAGTGGAATAACTCCCCCGATTCCTCAAAGAAGAGCAAGGACATTTGTCTTAGCCATGTGGTTACAATGACATCACCATCTCAAAGGAAGTGGTCTCCAGCCATTTCAAACAAGGGCAAGTCCCAGTCTAGGGCTGGGAAGAGAGAAAGGAGCACTTACATACCTGTTCTGAGAGAACGTCCCCCCTTTTTTTATTGTGAAGCTGAAGATACGAGTCCGTTTTAGGAGTAGGTAATCCCAGAGTCAGCTTGTTTTTTTCCACAAAATATTGTTTGGACTTCCTTCGCCGCCGGCCACGTGATCCTGGCAGAAAAACCTCATTATGTGAACTTGAACTCTTCAAGCACCGAGAGAGCTTGCTGGACTTCTCCAGATCACGGTCGCTCAGCTCCGAAGATGGCTGGCTGTGATGGGTGCCGCGCTCATAGTTCGGGCTTAAAAATTCACTGCCAAGTAAGGAGGCAACGCTCTGTGGGCTCCTCTTCTGTTCCGCCTTTCCCCCAGGGAGTTCCATGGACGTCTCCTTGGAGGGGTACAGTGGATCTGAAGTCAGATTTTCAGTCGAGCTGTCTACAGACTCTGGCAGTGCTTCCACGGTCAAGAACTTCCTCTCCTCTTTCTTACTCTTCCAGTTTGGGTCGTATCGCAGGTCTGAGTATTTATCCTCTACCGGCTGTTGGCTGCCCAAAGCAGAAGGAAAATGTCAAGTCTTTCATCAAAATGAACTTACTCATTATATTTAGTTGATTATCCTACTTGAATCTTTCTCCTATAATTTTCCTCTTTGCTATCTTTTTTGTTTTTAATGTTTGTTTATTTATTTTGAGAGAGGCGGGGAGAGGGTGCGCACATGTGGGAGGGGTAGGGAGAGAGAGGGAGGGAGAGAGAGAATCCCAAGCTGGTTCTGCACTGTCCGTGCAGAGCCCAGTGTAGGGCTCGTTCTCACAAACCACGAGATCTTGACCTGAGCCCAAATCAAGATCAGATGCTTAACCTACTGAGCCATTCTTTTGCTATCTATGTGTTCATAGACCTATCTGAGGCTCAGATTAGGTTTACACGCTGTACCTAAGGACGAAAAGGTCTTAATTACCCCAGTTCATTAAATTACAGAATCAAAGTGGGGGATAGTGAATTTATAAATGCTAGAAAAACCGCTGAAAAATAAATGTCAGTGACTCACTGGTTTAAGGGAAGCTGTTATGCACACCTTAAGTACTTCGGCTAATGAAGATAAAATTGATTTCACGTTTTGGCTGGTGACCTACACATCTGACTGCTTATCTAGGAAGAACATGTTGTTGCTGCCTGGACGCTGTTTTCCTCGGTCTGCGCCTTTTGTGAGGGAAAGCAAGATTCGTCTCAACTGAATACCCGCCTAGGTTCATCCTGCTGTAAAGCGATTTTACTTTTCACTTTGTCTTTGTAGGTTTTATCAGCCGCGCTACAGAAAGATCCCCAAATGTTGAGAATCCGAACTCATCCTCAGTTCGTATTCTTTTCGTTGGTCGGATCGATGCACACAGAACAGCAGACAGGTCAGCATGCGCTTTAAGCTGTAGGACAGCCCTGTTTCAGCCAAAGGTTAAACGTAGGGTCCTGCCTTAGGGACACGGGCCAGTCCATAATCCGTGCATATGACCCCAAATAAAGTCTTCCCTTTTCCTCCTGACAGTCTCAATTTGTAAAGCACCTCCCGGTCTTAACCAAAAAAGAAAAAAAAAAAAAGGCTGGTAATATGGCATATTTAATGGCCCCTTTGATCTTCAAAAGCTAAATGGGGGAGATTTTCCTTCCTTGAGTACAGTACTTGCAATCCTCTAATCAAAAAGAAAATGTAAATCACCTAGGCTTTTTATGCTACTTGATATTCCCGTTTACAGAGGACGTAATTCTATGCTGGGTAAACAGACTAATGGTGCCCCTACGGCTAATTTACTTCTCTTAACGTGGACCTAGATTTCTTTTGCTTCGATGTAAGGCAAAAATTAGGGCAACACCACAAAACTCCCATGCCTTGCTAAACCGTCACTTTGAATTTGGGGTTCACGTATTAAGACGGAGAACTTCTTGGAGCCGGTCGCTTTTGTTTCTCCACCCAGGGAAGCGAAATGACACGCTCTTCCAGCAAAATGCCTGAAGGGAGATTGCGCCCACGAGTCGGGAAGCCGGACACCCGGTTGTGCAGCTTAGTCCACCCCCTAGGCCGCACAGGGTTACGTGCCTCTGGGGCTTTGAGGGGGACCTTTCTCCTGGGTGATGTCTTGTCACGTTGAAAGCACTGTGTTTTGGCCTTGCCTTTCGCCTGGTTCCGTGGGTCTCTTTGGGCAGGTGGCGGGGACACGGAGTGGTGCAGCAGGGCACAATCTGGACCTGGGACTGGACAGTTCTGGGTCTGTCCTTACCTATCTGTGCATCGAATGCTGTCATCTCTGAGCCAGTCTCTCTGGTCTGTAAGTAGGGAAAATTATATTTTGTTTACTTGTTGGGCTTGCATAAGCATCAAAATGAGGCAGTTATGTCATAATTAAGGGTTTGTATTTGCTTATTTTCACCGTGGTAACTTTGCCTCTCGACCTAGTTAAGGTTCTGGGCAACAGGGACTTAAGTGTCACCCTTCCTTCCCTAACCTCTGCCCTTAGTACTCCACCCTGAGCTATGGACAGAGGAGTTAACGGGTGTTTCTTAAATAACTGGGCCTCAAAAATACTCGAGTCAGGGGCGCCTGGGTGGCGCAGTCGGTTAAGCGTCCGACTTCAGCCAGGTCACGAACTCCCGGTCCGTGAGTTCGAGCCCCACGTCGGGCTCTGGGCTGATGGCTCAGAGCCTGGAGCCTGTTTCCAATTCTGTGTCTCCCTCTCTCTCTGCCCCTCCCCCGTTCATGCTCTGTCTCTCTCTGTCGCAAAAATAAATAAACGTTGAAAAAAAAATTAAAAAAAAAATACTCGAGTCAACACAAATGTGGCATCGGATGTTAATTTTTAAAAACCCAACGGTGTAGGAAATTAGACTCGAAACATGCAGGAAAGCTTCTTGCCTGGAACCAAATTAGTGAAAGCTTTCAAGGCTTGGTTCGTAATGAGTTAAACATAGGGTTCATTGGCAGTGGTTTAAGGAAGAAAAGAGGAAGGGGTACCTTGATTATATCTTCAACATAATCTTCAGTAAAGCCATGATTTTTTTTTTTTTTTACATGAAGAAGGGTGCCGTTTCCCCGTATCCAGTACATATTGAAAGGAAAACATAACGTTTAACTCTCCTTGTTCATTCATTTGCTCCGTTTCCCAGAATTTAACTTCCCTCACTCGTTTGCTCACTCAGTGACTCTACAGGTATTTACTGAGCACTTACTGAGCTCGGGGATACAGCGATGGGCTCCCTGCCTTGTGGGGAATACAGACCAGGAAACAGGCAGTTTACAGTGGCCGTGATGAGGGACCTGATGACAGATTCTGTACGGAGGCAGCGGAGGGCGGGAGGAGGGCAGGTTGAGGAGAGCTCAGGGCGAAGCAGGGGGGAGGTCTTTGAAAGGCTTTGTGAACTCTGGTGAAGGAACCTGGTCTGCATGTACCTCAGTGAACTCGAGAGTCTGGCTTTCATTGAGCAAAAATAACTTAATTAGAGAACAGAGGTGTTAGACACGAATACTTTCGAACAGTCCAGGCGATGAGTTTTGGGAAGGGATTGTCTCTAGAGGTGTGCGTATGTATTTGGTGTTTCGAACAGATAGAGTCCCCTTCTTTGCACTCCGTTAAGAGTGGCGCATCACTTTGCGGATCTGCTCGGCTACTCAGTAGGGGTGGGATGTGACGGGCTGACTTTGGGAAGGCAGCATACTTATTGCGTGCCAGGGAGGGGGAGCGCTCCCGGCGAGTCTCCAGTTTTTTCCTTAGAACAGCCCTGTGAGGGCAGTACTCTCATGCGCCCCATTTAATAGATGAAGAAGCGGAAGCCCAGAGAGCTTGTGTCACTTTGCCAAGGTCACAGAGCGAACACGTGGTGGAGCCGGGACAGAGACCGCGGCAGCCTGCCCTGGCTCCTGTCCACGGGGTCGGTGGCCTGTGTTGTGCAGCTATCCCCGAGGGCGGTCACGGAGCGAGGCCTGCCTCATGTGAGTTAGCGAGTTAGTCCACATACACGCCGAGCGGCTCCCCGGGTGCGGAGGCATTGGAGGGTGGTGAGCAAACAGAAGCAGGCCGGCGGATCTTACCTACTGGAAAGGAAACAGGCTTTCTGCGCCAGCTCTCACAATCAAGGGCGAAGTTAGATGTGTACAGAAACATGCAGCATATTATGGGTATTTAAAATGGGGGGCTGCACAACCTTGCTTCTCACTGAAAACGTGTTAACCTCTTCTTTCCAGAGGCGGTTGCTAGATGATCACCTCAAGGTCCGTTTCAGTTCTATCCTTCTATGACCCTGTGATAAACTCACAGAAGAAGCGATATGCTGAGGGGTGCTTATTATTATAAAAAAAAAAAAATAGGTAGTCTTCGAGGATTGAAGGATATGGTTTCCCTGGTTGTATCTCTGCAGTAAGACTAGCGCTCAGAGCGGTCATCGTATTTACCCAGCATCGGCCGGGAATGGCATTATGCCCGCAGTCGCGACCGTAGACCTTCCTCAGTTATACATCATCTCCGTGGTGCTTTTCCTGCCTGGATAATGACGGGGAGTACTTTGGTTCTGAGAAATGGTATAGCAGAGCGTCTAAGGACAGGCGGCCCACATCAGACTGCCCGTATTCACAATTCCTGATGCCACCAGTAACCGTGTGAGCGTGGGCCAATTATTTACCTTCTCTGCACTTCCTCATCGGTAACATGCGGATAAGAACAGCACCCATCTCACAGCGCTGTTGAGGGGATTAAGTGAATTAATACGTACGAATGCTTGTAGTTGTGTCCTTGACACAGAGTGAGGGCTAGCTGTGAAAGCCTATGTCAGTGAGCTCTGTCACCGTGCTTTGCTTGCTGAGTGTCACAGTCACCGTGACATAACAGTGTTGTGTATTGTGCTTCCTGCTGATAGATCTCAAGGGATTCTTCTCTCCCTGGGGCTTATGTTCTTTCCAGAACATAAGGCTGTCTTGTGATGCACTAAGTGGCACCTGAGTGGCCTTGAAGGATTAACACTTATCTTTAAAAATCCAATTTTTTTTTTTTTTAACCACGATTTAGGCACCGTGGACAATCTTTTTGAGCTATAGTTTAGGAGATGGGATTAAGAAATTTCAGCCACGTGGTGAAGTATTTTAAGAACCTGCTGAAAGATGAGGGGGAAGATAAAACAGGGAGAATTAAATTACTTTAGATCTACAGAAATAACTGTACTTTCGGGCCTCAACAAATTTCCGTTCCTAAATGCCCGTAGAACTGTATCACACGCCGTAGAGAGACTGGTGTTTATAAGTGGAACCTAGAAAACACAACGGGCTTGGAAACAAATCAGAAAGAATTAATGGCTTTGGCTGAGAAAACTGGTTTTGAACCAATCGTGTGGAGAGAAACGCTAATGATGTTTGCATAGCAGATTTAAATCTGAAAACGGGGCTCTTCTAAGAGCTTTAATTACGCTGTGCCACTTGCGCCGGCCACGACTGTCTCAAAGTCTCCCCTCGGTCCCCCGTCTAGATGGAAACTCTACGTTGAAACAAATGAAAGGTTACGTTTCGCAAAATCACGGGCATGGGAAGCTGTACTGTTTCACAGAAACAAATCTAATGGCCGAAACAGAACATGATACTGAAGGATCCCCATTGTACCGGGCTTGTGTGCAAAGACGCTCAATTATGTCTCGTGGTCCAGGTCAACACGCGGGAACAAAATGAGCGTGAAGTGCTCCTTCATCGGTAATCATCTGCACACAAAACATGCACTTCTTTTCCTTCGCATTCGCTAGAAAGGTTACGCAGACAATGCGGACACAACTCTTTTGTTACCGTTCAGACAACAGATGCAAGGTCTCCTCTTCAGATAGATGCCTAGGTAAGACACGGATGCAGAGAGGCAGGGGAGGGTGGTCTCATATGCATGCACCATGATATTTGCTGGCTTTCATGGACCGTATTCGAGGACTTACTGTACTCCAAACAAAATAAAATCAAATCTCCATTTAATGAAGAGCCTCACATGTAGCATAGCACTCGATCAAAAAAACCTACTAAAATTAGAGCATGTTTCTAGCACAATTAACATCCTTGGCACTCATAATAAAATATTCAATAACTGGCCATTTTGCCTGTTGAGGAGGTGAATAAAAGCACTGCTATTAATCATTTAGCCGTTATTTATTTGC